AGGTCTTTTATTTACATCTGCCTTTAACAAAAAGGTTCTTCTCGTCTATTTTTTTTGCATACACACAGGGGACTCAAAATCCGTGTAAACTGGAGTGAAAAGATTGTAGACATTTTTGAAGTCCTCTCATAAGCATTTTTGACCTCACTTCTAAACTCAGTCAATGAGAGACAAGGATCGCTCCAAATCCAGAGTGAGATGGTTCTGCTTCAGTCTGGATTGGGCTTCGGTAAAAGTACATGGTATGCAAGTCCCACAGCTTTGGAACCAGTCCCCTGGGGGGAGGGGGGCATGCACTTCGTTCTGTTTTGTTTTGCCTTTTTGCCAGAGGAGAAAATGCTGAAATAGAAGCTTAAAATTGTTGCTGTTGTTTTCAGAAGTGTAAGTTTCAGGGCACTGATTCACAGAAGTGGGAATACTGGGCTAAACATTATAAACACTTTAAACTTTAATAAGCATTATAAGATGATCTTCAAAGTAATTAACACATTACCTTCCAGCAACAAGGCTAACTGCCTTTTCCTTACATGGAAAAAGTCTAATGGGTATAAAGTGACATACTATTGTGAATGAAACATTTGACTTCCCTAATTGTAAATGAAGTTAATTGTTGTTCTTATATGTTTGTGGACTATACACCTTTCTATTAACTGCGTAACGTCATCCTTTGACGACTGCCCAACTGGACTGTCTTTTGCTTATTAATATAATGAGTTCTTTTATACTGACCCTTTATCACTTGAATTAAAAATTCTTCCTGGTTTATAATTTATCTATTGATTTTAGAGCATTAGAGCACCTTTTAACTTTATATTGTCAAATAAGTTTACCTTTGCGTCTGTAATTTCTTGTTTCATTCCGTTCCCACAGAACATAAACGCAATCCCGTCAGTTTTCTTTCAGATTTATATTGTTTTCATTTGGGGACACATTTTTCATCATTACTCCTATTGGGATTTACTTTTCATCTTGTACAGTTTGTAAATTCACTTTGTTTTCCAATGGATAGTTAGGTGTCCATACCCCTCAATTAAATAACATGACTTTACCCGGTGAAGTTGGATTTTTGTCATACATGCACACGCCCCTTCAGGTTCTATTCATGGATTTTCTGTTTCACTGATCTGCTTATCTAACAGCATATGACACCATATGCTTTACAGTATAGTCTACTCTTTTCTCCTATCTTTTCCAAGTTACCTATGAATATTTATTCCACCACAGAAATATTAACATATTTTCAGACAATTCCAGAAAAACAATTTTGAGATTATATCTAGATCTATGTAAAAGTTATGTAATAATCATGCATGTGATATTTCTCCTGTCCTAGAAAATATATTTTTTCCATTCCGTACAATTAGGCTCAATGTTCTTCAATTAGCTTTCCCTTTCTCATCATGTTTACTCCTAATTCTATTAGTTTTGATGGTCACAGTAAACAAAAGATTTTCCCCATTTTCACTTTAAAGACTACTCTCACTAATTCCTAGAGATGTCGGCATAAAGAATTTATCTCTTTGATTCTTTTGTCATCCATTTTAATCCTGGAATTATGTAGGAGTGTACTTCTTAATTTCTAAGTAATTAGGACATTTTACTCATGTCCTATTACTTATTTATAATTCTCCTGAATTACTATCAGTGAGTCGGATCCATGGTAGTCACTCTTATTTCTATTCATAAAGATAAACTTTGTGGCAATTTCATAATTAATTGTTTAAGTATTCTAGCCTCCAGTATCATAAAATTCCAACGGTAATTTTATTTGCTCAATTATTATTTTAAGGAGTGGGGAGTTAAGACTGTGGATTTGTTAAGATGTTTCATGTTATGTTCAGAGATCAGTACTTTCACTGGCATATTTCAAGTGTGTATCTTTGCTCATCAAAAAAGCCTGGAACTCAATCATCCTTTTACTTTGTAGCCTCGGTTTACTTACAATTAAGAATATTCTCTTCCACTTTTTATCTGAAAATTTGCTTCCCTTCACATTTTGCTTTTCTCTTTCTGGAGTGCCCGTCAAATGAACATTAAGGCCCCGAGATCTATCGCCTGCCCCTCTTCTCTGCTATCTCATCATTTGATTGGTATAGATTTTGTTCTGCTTGGTTACAGGGACTGCATTTATGTTCCAGGCTCCTGACTTGGTCCCAGGAGTGACTGGAGTGACTGTACTCAGTTATTTAATTGGGGGGTCCTGGGTGTTTCTATTGTCAGGTTCCAACTCATGGAGACCCTACCAGCAAGAGAGCGAAACAGTGCCAGTCTCGCCCATCCTCATAGCTATTCTTATGCCTGAACCCACTGCGGCAGCCACGTCTGGGCCGTCTTCTTGTTCACTGCCCCTCTGAGACTTTACCCAGCATGACTCCTTCTCCACACAAGCACGATTGCCTGCCTGACAGGGTCAAAGCAGGTGAGGCAGAGTCTCGCCATCCTCGTCCCTGAGGAGCATTCTGGCCGTACTTCTTCCCAGACAGACCCGTCTGACGTAAGGCAGTGCGGGGCAATTTCAGTGCTCTTTGCCGGCACCGTCATTCAAACGCACCCGGTCCTCTTGAGTCTTCCTCACTCACTGCTCGACTTTCACATGCACAGGAGGTGACTGAGAACAGGCGCACCTTAGTTCTTAGCCTCCATGCTTTTTGACACGGGGAAGAGATCTCACGCAGCTGACTTAGCCAGTGCAGTGCACTCTGGTGTCTCTCAATGGCTGCATTCTCCAGAAAATGTCTCTGTGCTACATTTGAAAATCACAACTCTATTTTTTAATTTAAGTTGCTTCCTTCCTCCGAGCTCTATTTTTTTTCTGGGTAGGTGTTGGGTTCGTCTTTGTCTCATTCTCTTGTACTTTAGTTGGATTTCACCCATAGACGTCCCCACCCCCCTTCTTGCATCAGGTGTGGCTGTTATAGCATCTTATGTAAAAGGAACCCTATCAGTCCATAAACCAACCAGATTCACTGCCATCGAGTCAATTCTGACTCAGAGCAGCCCTACCGGGCAGAGCAGAACTGCTCCTGCGCTCACAGGTAGTGAGTGGAAGGTAAAGCAAGGAAGATGCGAGACTACAACAGGTAGATGGCCAGAACCTTTCTGGGGCCCTCAGAGAATGCTCTCATTCTTCCAGCTTCTGGAATATGGAGAATTCATTCTCCCGTCAAGTTTTGCTAGCTATGCCTCTTCTCAAGAGACATATTATTCTGGAATGTCCTGTGTCAATCTTCTCTCCAAACTCTCACAGATCCCTCAAGGCCAAGCTGTTTCCAATATCCACCACTGCCTGGCTCCCACCCCATGCTCCTCCCTGCTGGTCTCCTGTGGTTAACTAGACAATAGTTTGAAGAAAGCCCCGGCTGGCTGGGTCTCTTCACGTGGAAGGCCGCAGGATGTGAATCCTCACTTGCATGCAGATGTAGGTAAGCCTCACACAGTTTGGTAAGAAAGCTAGGGAAGTAAGGGCGGGAGATGCAGGGCAAGGATGTCCTATATGAGTACAATCAGAGCACCCTGAAATCCACAATAAACACTTTATAATTCTAAAAGGTAGAGGCTTTATGTCATACATTTTGATCGTGAGCCATAATCAATAAAACATCTCAAATAACAAGGTGTTCTCTATGTAGAAATTTTAAAACATCTGTCTTTAATAACCCCTGGAGTAAAAGTCAAATGAAAACTCAAATTATAAGCAATCTACAAATTAATGAAAAGAGGAAGGGTTCTTATCAATTACCATAGCTATAGCGGAAGCTCGACTGGCAGTTAATTCTCTTCATTTTTATTTATAGAGGACGGTTTTGTGTTTCAGCTTCATCTTTGAGTGGCAGTTTTGGTCAGTGTCAGTTTCTCAGTTAGCAGGGTTTTGTTTTTGTTTTCCTTTCAGCATTCTAAACACGTCACCCCGTTGCCTTCTGGGTCACAGCTTGGAAGAGAAATCGCAGGCTGACCTTATTAGGGCTCCTTTGCCGGTGATGACTCTGTCAGTTGACCGCTACTGTTGAGTACCTCCATTGAGCTTTTCACTTGGTGATCACACTTCCAACAACAGAATTTGCTCTGGGCCTTCAGGTTTTCTACTTTATGAAAGATGATCGTCATACTTAAAGAAGCCTTGGTGGCCTAGTGGTGTGCTCCTTCGGCTGCTAACCACAAGATCAGCAGTTTGAATCTCTGCTGTTCTGCGGGAGAAAGATAAGGCTTTCTTTTGGGAATGACTTTAGTCTAAGTCCAAAAAATTCCTCTGAAAGTCAATTGTATTGCTGGCTGGCCCCACCCCACCCTCTATGTGTTCTCCCTGTTCTGCTCCTGGCAGTTTCCTCAGGGAGAGCTGCACAGCTCTCTGTTCCTAGTCTGCAGCACGGTGTCCAAGCTGGGGTGGGCATAACTGTGATCCTTTCTGGGAGATATTCCCATGTACTCAATGGCAGTGAGTTTGTTTTAGGGATCCCTGGTGGTGTAGTGGTCATGCTTTGGGTGGCCATCCACATGTTCAGTAGTTCGAAACCATCAGCCCCTCCCCAGGAGAAAGATGAGGCTTTCTACTCCTATATACACAGTTACATGAGTTGGCATCAACTCGCTGGCAGTGAGCACAGCAAGGCTGAGCACCTAGACAGGAGAGCCTCTTTTCTTTTAGGCTTATCCTTCCTCGTGGGGACCTTCTCTCCTGATGAGAGGGCTAGTCGGAGAGGACAATCGGCATCGAGTATTCTCGGCCTTCCCTGTCAAGGATCGAGCTCTCACCTATCTATAGGGGCTGAATAACTACAATAGCGTTTCTGGAAAATAGAGCCGAGGGGAGATAAGATGTGCTGGCCTCCTGCTCTCCTAGACTGAGAGTGGGGGGCTGGGGTGGGGGTGGTGTCAGTGTTCTTAGCCACAATGATCTGGAGTAGCGCAGAGTAATATGGGTGCTCATGGAGAGCAATAGGAGCTGCCTGAGGCTCAAATCCATCAGACTTTCAGCGTGGTAGCCAGGTTTAACAGATTTTCTTGACGACATGTTTTTCCACTTACTATATGCCTGAGAACAATTTCTAGAGACTTTATTGTTTACAAAGTGATTCACCCGTTAAGACAGTTGTTTTATTGGGAGAGTCCACTGACCTCCTCATAGCCAAGCCTTACTTCAGAAGTAGATGTATCCTATCTGAATATTTTATGTCATAACTTATCCCAACAATTTAAACATGTTTTAATAAGACACAGAAATATACAATACAATAATGTGGAGACATTTAAAATGAACAATAAGAGGGTGGTATAAAACGAATAGGGTGGTGTGAGCAGAACTAAATTCTGTATCTTACCAGTCTGAACTTTTTGGTAGCAAAGCATGACATTAACAGCCACCATTAGTTCCCTAGCAAATATCTCCTGTGTTTTTATGTGGTCTGTCTAACTCACACAAGTACTCTATATGGCAGGTCGTGCCATTTCCTCTTATAAACAAGGCCCCACAGAGAGAAGAACTGGGAGCGATGAGAGTTCGGGCCTACATTCGTCATGTCCTCAATTAAAAAGTATTACATTTATCAGGAGAACAATTTTTCTGGAATACATGTCTGAGAATTGCAGCAATATTACATCGGTAACATTAGTTTATTTGTACAGAAATATATGAGAAGGCTTCAAGAAGTTCATGACAAAGACACATGTGTGTCTGTGTGTGTGTACATGTGTATTTAAAATTTTTTTGCAGGACTGTTTTACCTGTTGATATGCTGAGAGTGAATTAAAATAACTAGTTTTTAATCAAAGTTTGTTGACACTTCAGATAGTTATAATTTTATGGAATTATCTTTAACCCAATAGTTATTTTGGCATCTTTATCTGCTTAGCATTGTACCTATCAGTAATGAATTATGATAATCATGTAATAATGGTTGTTAGCATACAAAACATTTCAGTAATTTAAAAAACACAACATATTTCTTTTAATTAAATAATTATTGTATATTACGCATGCATGTTCAGCCTAGCACAGTTTTGATTTGTACCACTAGCAGCTTTAAAAATATTCTAACATGGAAAGTTGAGTTGGTGGACTGATAAAAATAAGTCTTTTTCTCCTTTGTTACAATTTTCATCATATTTCAAACAGTACAGAAATACATCATAATGAGGTAACTTAAGTGTCATAAAACATATCTGCCACAGTTTAAAATATATTACTTAAAAAATAAAACATATGTTAGTTTCAAAGATAAATGAAAATTGTAGCTCCCTACATCCATCACAGAAAAAAAAATTATGCTTGCGAAAAATCCATGGTTCTAAAATTGAATGACATTCATAGTTTCACGATAATGTGATGTAAGGAAAGAAACAATGAAAAAATAACTGAAATATTAGATTGGAAATGGAGTCACATGAATAGCAAATCACAAAATCAAACTGGTGAGTAAGTGTCTGGCCATGTCTGAACGACACTGTCTACAGAGGGCTGCATCTTCCCCCCGCCCTGGCATTCCTGGGTCAGCCCGCACACGTGTGCAGTAAGCTACTGTTTCTCGTGCCGTGCTCTGTTTACCTTCCAGAAGTTCATCCTCATCTATGCCTTTAACAATTTTTGATTTGTAGTCTCGGAAGAACATGTATTTTAGCAGTCTTCTAAGTTTTTTCTGTAAAAAAAAGGGGGGGATAAGACAATAAATACACATGTATAGCTTCCTGCATAAAGGCTCCCATGGAACTAAATTTGGTTGCGTTCACTCAGAGGCACCTCAGAGAAAGGCCTACAGATCTACTTCTGAAAACCAGTCCCTGAAAAACACTATCAAAATGCTGTGCGTTTTGCTGAGTAATTCTTAACAAGCACACTACAAATGTTTATCCCAAGACACACTGGGTTAAATATCGCAAGCCCCAGCATAATACAACGAAAGGAAAAGGTCTTTAAAATATTGTTGAGAACGAGGTAGACAATAGGACCTCCCCTCACAGAAGGGTCACAAGGTATACACACATACACCTATGGAAGGGACGAGTGAACCAGGGCGCAGTGTAGCACCCATGAAATACACAATATTCCTGTGGTTCTCTGAGGCTTTCTCATGACCCCAGTCCTACCCTTCAGTGCTGGCTAGACAGGAACATGTACACTGGGATAAGTAAGAGCTCAGGACACATGGAATCCAGGTCAGATAAGCCCCTGGGCACAGGAATGGGAGGAGTGCTACTGGAGAGGAGGGAGGAGGTGGGGAGGGGGAACTGATCACAATGATGGAGGCATAATCCATCCTCCCCACCACCCAGGGGGATGGACAACAGAAACCATGGGGGAAGGGAGGCAGTGGTCGGGTGTAAGATATGAAAACAATAATAATTTGTAATTTATCAAGGGGTCCCAAGGGTGGGAGGAAGGGAGAGAGGGAAAAAAGAGGAACTGATACCAAGGACTCAAACAGAAAGTAAATGTTTAGAAAATGATGATGGCAACATATGTACAAATAAATATGCTTGATACAATTGATGTATGAAATGTTATAGTAGCTGTAAGAGCCCCCAATAAAGTGATTTAAAAATAAAATATACAAAGAGCTAAAACTCAAGTATTTTTAAAAGCATTTTTCATGAGCAAGCATTCAGATGCTTCAAGATCACAGTAATTACTTTTTTTCCTTATAAAAATATTTAAATTCTTTCTTAAGATTGTGAAAAATAGCATTCTCTCCATACCAAACTGACTGCACTCACAGTATAAAGTTTTGTATATATACAAGACAAAAATGCGTTTCTAAAAACTGATTTCTGAAACACTGAGACCAGTTTACAACAACTGTTTCAAAGAGCCAAGCAGTCTCCTTTTTATTCTCCAAGGATGTTTTCTTTCAGTTAGAAAAATTGCTGTCTGTGTATATTTCTGGAAAACATTCTGTAATCTGAGAAACATATTTTTCTGAAACTCAATGCTGATGAATAAGCGTTGGGTCTTAATGATGGTCGTCATCAGTTTTATTAGAGACCACAACATTGCTTACTTTGTAGCTTTTGTGTGCTTGCACTTAGAAAGTATCATCATTGGTTCCCAATCTTTAAGCTTCCTTTGAGGTTCCCAGGTTTAAGCTTTCTATTAATAATTCAAATGCACAGCATTTTACAGAGCACCTTTTACGTGCTTGACATAGGCAAAGATCACCATCTCCTTTCTAAATGTAGGGGCATTGAGGTTAATAACAGTCTTATAGCTCGAGCTCAGCAGAGCGGGAAGCAGACATGACCGAGGAGGCTCAGTCAATTGGCATGTGCCTATGTTACAGAGAAATAAATGAGGGGGTGTGAAGCTGTTAGTGCAAAAGTTAGAACATAAAAATAACCATAAATCCCATGGCCACTGAGTCTATTTCGAGTCATAGTGACCCTGTACGACAGGGTAGAACTGCCCCATGTGGTCTCTCTCAAGACTGTCACCCTTACTGCCACATCTTTCTCCTGCAGAGCGGCTGGTGACCTTTCAGATAGTAGCACTTAGCCACTGTGCTGCCAGGCCACATCAAACAGCACAGGCAGGCAACAAATATTGCTTGAATAAAAATAAGAAAAAATTCTCCCAGAAGTGGTATTTTTAAAAGAAAAAAACCCTCATGTACCTATAGTATACTGCTACCCTCTTTTTTTTTTTTTCTTTATTCAATACTTTCTCTTTTTTTGGTCATATACCTATGTAAGCTACCTTAAATTCTTTTTTTGGAATTGAGCAGCATATGAAGCACTTGTCACTGGGGTGGGGGCGATGAGAAAATTGGCAACCTATAGAACCATGACTACGCTCTGTGTTGCTAAACAGGTTCTGGCTAAGAAACCCTCTCTCTGGGCAGCGGGAGAGCATGGCCAACTACTGGTGTGTGTTCTTGGAGTTTCTACATGCTTGCAGATGTTGCCTTCCCCTAAAGGTCAGGAAAAAAGGGTCAGTGTGGACCCCTTGATGAGCCAACCTTTAAAAAATGGCCCTGTGAGTAAACAGAAAACTTGGAGACAGTCTCTGAATTACGAATGTAACTCCATGGTCCCCAGTCACCTGCAGAAGAACATTTCCTGCAGGTCCACGTGGCAGCCAGCAACACCTGTAGGCTGCTGCTTCCCAACTCCATTGCTGTATGGGATCGACTTCTCTTTAGTCTCCTACACACAATGCGGTCACCGCAATCCTTCACCTTTTTATTCTTTACTATTTCTCAGAATTCTTCCGATTCATTCCGAGAGTCACCATCCTCATCATAGCTTTGTCTGGGTTCTTGAACTGGCGTTCAATTTAGTTTCGCCGCATTTGGTCCATTCTACATACTGACTGCCATGACACCTGAGCGTCAATCTGGGCAGAGACCTCCAGCCAGTTCAACAAATCCTCTATCCTCTCTAACCGGAGGCCTCGACCTTGAAATCCTGTGCGTTTCAACACGGTTCTTCAAAGAAATCCAACAGGTTTCCCACAGGAGCTCATTAGCCTCTCGGCAGTGAAGACTTCTCTTTTGTTATGTTCTTCCTATCATCTGAGAGTAGTTGAGCTAACCTTTTATAAAATTGACTGGCACACTGGTCTGGGTGCCGTGTGGAACCTTGAGTTTCATTACACCTCATAAGGAAGACAAAACACTTGATTCATGTTTAGTTAATAGCCAGTCAACCAGGATGGAAATCAGACAACTAGATATTAGAATGCTAACAAGGCTGTCCAAAAGGGTATGGGATGGGATGCTTACTGATGAATGAAAAGACATTCATAGCCGTGGCAAACACTGAGCCATGGAAATAGAGACATGGTAGAAGAGGAACGAGAGAGTATAATGAAAAGGTCAGGGAATAGCAAGTGAGACATGAAAGATGGAACATTAGGTTTTTAAATATGTCAATTATTTGTGAATGAAACATTTACTGAAAACGTGTATGACACTGTAGATATTTTCAATTAGCTATTCATGGGAGATAGGAAAACGTTTGACATACAAACACTGGTTGGAATATTTGAATGTCAGAGTTCAAAGAATAAGAAAGTAGATATTTAACGTTAAAGCAAATAGAAATCATGGTACCTATTTAGGCTGTCAGGCTTCTCATGTTGATGATTTGCTTTTTCCTGGACATGCATGCCACAAAGTAAATTTTGATTTCAAATGAAAGTAACAAGCTATTCTACATCGCCTACTAATATGTAATAAAATAGAGGTAAACATACACACCCATTCAGTTATATCCCTTTATCAGATCACAGTTACAGTTATTGCATATCTCGTCACTATGGAGACATCTAATCAGATGTATAAGGGTGGCAGGAGACAGTTGCCCACTATGGTTTTCACATGAAGTCTGTCTATCGGCATCAGTTCTCAGTCTGCGCACCTTGCGGTGCAGACGATGGAGACCAAAGGCATCGGGTCACACAGAGTCGGGGCTCTACTCTGAAAGCCACCTGACAAGGCTGTGTCAAGGAAGGAGGCACCAAGCCCGCACCTTAATCTGACAAAAAATAAAACGCTGGATTACCTTATCCTTGCGCATCAAAAACAAAAGATCTTCCGCAGAGATCACCTTTGCTCCTCTCAGCTGAGAAATTTCTGCAGCTTGCTGTAACTAGCAATGAAAGAAAGTAGAAAATTGTCTCAATAATATACACATACTACAGCCATGCCGTCTCAGGGGAGATTAAAGTACTATGCGTTAAAAACCTTTGGGAACCATACAGCAACCCTATCACTGCTTTTAAAAGCAGAATGTCTTCTGTTTTCGGATATTAAAAAAAAAAAAGCAATTAAATTAACTTATGAGCCCACCTGTAACTGATACAATAAACAGAAATCCTTGATTTCTTTCCTGCACAAGAAAAATCATGTGCAGCCTCCAGAAATGCATTAATGCACCTGAAAATAATTTTATGAAATTTTATCCTTCAGACCCATGTGAGCAATGGCTTCACTCAGGATCACTACTTGAATACATATATTATTAATCTGAGCTCCCATGCTGGTATGATTTCAAATAGGCCCATTCAGAACTTGAAAAGATCAACAAAAACAGTAGCTGTTTCTAATATCCAAAGGGGGGCAAAAAAAACCTTTTCGTTTTGGCAAGTCTTCAGTGGGTAAAGGATTCAGTCCATAAATCATAATACTGGACTGCATTAATTTCTTTCCACACTAATCACACACATACAAAGTTAACTGTATCTGGAACGTACAACACAAAACACACTGCATGAAAAGTTAGCTTCCCCTGAAATGTTCATCTGGGTCCTTCTATCTACAAAGTCAGAGTTTTCAGGAATTCAGAAGTCCTCGAAATACAATCTTACTTGAAAATGACCTAGAAAATAAAAAGAATGTGAAAAATGATAGTTCTATATTTTGGCACTGGCAAGATCAGCTTCTTATTTTGATTAGTTGGAAGGAACATAAAATACGTCCATCTGAAAAAAATAAAGATGCCGGAGAAAAACACTACAAAAATGTGCCTGTAATTTCTTCCAAGTTTGATCAACCCATGCTGATTGCAACAAACCAACTCAATCCAATCTGAAATATTATAAAAATATTTACATATAAAAGCTGTTCCCAAACGCCTTTCTTTCAAAATAATAAATCTAAGACATATTCCTGAGAAAAGTGACACACTGTTGTCTTAACAATTACATGAAATCAAATCATGCATTTGTGCTAAAGAAATTCTGCTTGAGCATTCAAGGGATTCTGCTAACTAAGCTTCAAACCTTCTCTAAATACACAGACTACAAAATAGACTATAAACTTCCTATGTGTCAGCCTTACCACTGAATTTCCTGGATACTGGAGGTTGGTATATAAACAAAATTCTACCTAAACATAGATATTTAAATTTAACTGTGAATTATTTTAAAAGAAAGGTGTTTTTTAAAAAAATATGATGTATCTAGCCAAAAAGAAACTAAAAAACTTCAACAAACATGAACATGCTTAAAACACACACACACACACACACACACACACACACACACAAAAGTGTAAGAGTTTCAGGCACATTGTTGGTGGGTCTGTATTTGTTTTTTGTCTTGGTTTTGTATGCTTTTCTATATAGATAACTCAGAATGGGGGATCTGTGGAGACAGCAGCTGGATTAATAATTGCTTCAGGGTCAGGGAAGGGGAGGTTGGTGGGACATGTGGCGTTAACAGCATCGAATCCAAGAAGGAAGAGAATGTTCCAATGTGGATTGTGGTGATGATTGTACAACTCTTCCTAATCTGATTGAATGACTGAATGGCTTGATATCTTAAAATGTCTCAATATAACATTTTTTAAAAGAGTGTCAGGCAAATACATGTACATGGATTTTAAAAAATAAGACATCTCTCAAATACATGCAACCAGCGTGGAGAATACAGCCTTATATCCAGTTTCCTGGATACATAGAGGGAGTGAACCAGAGGCAGCACTGCCTCTTTAAGTGAGGATGTGACAGTGCAAACTACTAGAAAAATATTATTTTATTCTCAGGTAAGATAAGATCAGGCTATCATTCCCTAACTCATTTTCCCCAAGTAATCAGTGTTTTGTCACATAAGTAAATAAACTGTACTATATGCAAATCTTATAAATAAAATTTTACAATCCTCCTCCCAGTGGTATAAACGATACAGGCTTTAAGCCCTGTCCTTTAGTTGAATGAGCATGCGTGGCCAGGTGCTGCCCCGTCCAGGCCAACTCACAGCCACCCAAGGTAACAGAACAGAGCTGCCTGGAGGGTTTCCTACCTAGGCAGTGATCATGAAAGAGGATCACTACAGTGCCTGCCCAAAGAACCACTGGGGGGGGGGCAACAACAAACCTTTCAGCTAGCAGCTATCTGCTTAAGCATTGAGCTTGCAGGGCTCCTTTAATGAGCCCAGGGAGTTAATTTTCCTCAGTATGGATACAAGTATGAGACTCTTAATCTTAAAGAGATTTGGTTTGCAATTTGGTACAATATTAATCTAACACAATAGCAACTAAGTAATACAATTTCAGTTTATTTTAATGAATGCTATTTTATTTTTCAAAGTAAACTAATTATATATTTGTAGCAAATGTTTGAAAGTGAAAGTTACCCGACATGTTTGCTCTTTAAGAATTCAGGACACTTTGTCTGGAGTCGTGCAGGAAAAGGGGCATGTTCAACTTTAGGCCTTACCCCAGATGTCCCACCTGGAATCCCGGCGTAATCTTGCTCTGGTGTGTCCTGGCTCTCAGTGACTAACAAGCAACCTCAGCTCAGGTGCCCTTGTCTATTACATGTTAACCAACTTCTGTTAATTCTGGTGTTTGTTTCAATTTGCCTGGGGTTTTGAATTTGCTCTCTACTTCCACAGCATGCACCCCTACCCAGGCTTTCGGGGAGTTTTTTGCTGAGTGGTTTCCAAATTCCATTGTCTTCAAATTACGATCAGTCCGCACTTTCACTGCTGCAAGGATCTTCCTCAAAGATGATCTACACAACGGTTGCTCTCAGAACCACGCTAACCCCCCATTAGTGTATAAAACTTCAATCTGGTCTTGACAACTCTGAATTAATCCACAGGTTCCCCTCCCCCCTCTATTTCCATTCTCATCAAGAAGCCCAGTGGGGGAGGGGTTATACTTGATCTGAGATCCGAAAGGTCAGCAGTTCGAAACCACCAGCCGCTCCGAGGGAGAAAGACAGGGCTTTCTACTCCCATAAAGAGTGACGGTAGTGGAAACTCAGGGGCAGTTCTGCCCTGTCCTCTAGGGTCACTACATGTTGGAATTGACTGGAGGGCGGTGAGTCTGGGTATTTTTGGGTTCGTTCTCATCACACTTTAGCTTTCATCTCAGATTTTAGACTGCAGTGATTTAAGTTCTACACGGATGCCTTTTTATACTTCCCTCCAATGATCGGAAATACCAGTCTTTAAAATAGAGGCTTTAAAATCATTTTCTCAAGGAAAGCTTATCTGCAGTGGTGTTTATCACGTAACCTAGCCTTGGAGCCTAAAGGCTCAGTTTATAAAATCTTAACTGAGCTTGTTAACAAGCTTCCTTGAATGCTTTTACCATTTTATGGACACCCCTACTCCCCAACTTTCATTAGGTCTAGGGTTAAAGATCCCTAAGGGCAACTTTTTTGTTTGTTTGTAGTTTTAAAGCAAACACGTTTCTGCCTTACGCGTGAGCTGACATTACTCCCTAGCTTTATCCATATCCACGTTCTCCACCCCACACCACTCACCCACTGGCCCACAGAGATGCTGTTTTGGCAGGGTAGAATTTAGGAGCAGCTGGTAGGCTTGAACTACTAGTCTTGCAGCCAGTAGCCTAATGCTTAGCCCAGAGTAGTACCTGGGATCCTTGTATGGTCTCTAAGACCTCTTGTATCTAAGGCTTACCTATCTGTCCTGAGATTATCAGTCTGAACCTCTTGGGCTAATTTGCCTGGGTTGTATATAATTTGTTTACCCCATTCTGGAGTCAATGCCTTTTCTTTCTACTGCTGATGACCTCAATTGTGATTACTGATCCCATGGCTCTTTGCCTGGTTGGACCTCTAGCCCTGCTTCCAACGGACACCCTGCTGCTTGAATTTCAATAGTGAAAGAGCATATCCACATGCGTCTGCACTTGCCACCTGTTTAGAACTGGGCTGTCCCCGCCTGGTAGCCACGAGGCATATGTGGCTATTTGAAATTAAAATAGGAGCTAATTAATAGCAAATGAATACGTCCAGTTCTCAGTAACACTTGTCAAATAGCTGCATCTGACTAGTGACCAGTGTCTTAGATAGGACAAACATGAAACATCTCCATCGATGCAGAACAGGTCTACTGGACAGGGCTGACGATGGCAGAGGATGGCAAGCTCTCTCAATGGGGGTCACATAATAAATATTGTTGGTTTGCAGTTGTGACAGCTCAATTTTGCTGTTGTAATACAAAGTAGTCACGGCTCAGAAGCAACAAAGCCCACATGGAAGAAGCACACCAACCTGTGTGACCACGAGGTGTCATGGGATCAGGTATCAAACATCAAAAAAATCCTATCATTGTGAAGGAGGGGGAGTGCAGAGTGGAGACCCAAAGCCCACCTGTAGGCGACTGAACACCCCCTTACGAAGGGTCGCAGGAGGAGACGAGACGAGCCAGTCACGGTGCAGGGTAGCAACAATGAAACATACAATTTTCCTCTAGTTCCTAAATGCATCTCCCCCCCCACCCTATTATGGTCCCAGTTCTACCTTACAAGTCTGGCTAGACCAGAGCATGTACACTGGTACAGATAGGAACCGGAAACACAGGGAATCCAGGACAGATGATACCTTTAGAACCAGTGGTGTGAGTGGTGATACCAGAAGGATAGAGGGAAGGTGGGATAAAAAGGGGGAACTAATTATAAGGATCTACATATAACATTCTCCCTGGGGGTTAGACAACAGAAAAGTGGGTGAAGGGAGATGTCGGACAGTGTAAGATATGACAAAATAATAATTATTTATAAATTATCAAGGGTTCATGAGGGAGGGGGGAATGGGGAGGGAGGGGGGGGAAATGAGCTGATACCAAGAGCTTAAGTGGAGAGCAAATATTTGAGAATGATGAGGGCAATGAATGT